GCTCTGGGTTGCTCTGGGGTGGCCCCAGGATGGACTGAGGAGCTTTGGGGTCCTCTGGGATGGCCCCGAGAGCCTCCAGGATGCTTTGGGAAGTCCCAGAATGGCCCCAGGATGCTCTGGGAAGCTCTGGGGTATCCCTGGGATGCTCCAGGAAGGTCCGGGATCCTTCAGAGAGCTCCGGGATGCTCCTGGGATGCTCCAGAATGCTTTGGGAAACTCCAGGAGGCTCCGGGATCCCCCAGGATGGATCCAGGATCCTTCGGGATGGCCCCGGGAAGCTCTGGGAAGGTCCGGGATCCTCCAGGGAGCTCCGGGATGCTTTGGGGAGGTCCGGGATCCTGCAGAGAGTTCTGGGAAACTCCGGGATGCTCTGGGATGCTCTGGGGAGCTCCGGGATGCTCCGGGAAGTTCCAGGATGGCCCCGGGATGCTTTGGAAGGCTCCGGGATATCCCTGGGATGCTCCGAGAAGCTCTGGGATCCTCCAGAGAGCTCCGGGATGCTCCGGGATGCTTTGGGAAGGTCCAGGATCGTGCAGAGAGCTCTGGGAAACTCTGGGAGGCTCCAGAAGGCTCTGGGGAGTTCCGGGATGCTCTGGGAGGCTCCGAGGTATCCCTGGGATGCTCTGGGAAGGTCCAGGATCCTCCAGGGAGCTCTGGGAAACTCTGGGATGATCCGGGAGGCTCTGGGTGGCCCCGGGATGCTCTGGGAAGGTCCGGGATCCTGCAGAGAGCTCTGGGATGCTCCGGGATGCTTTGGGAAGGTCCGGGATCCTCCAGGGAGCTCGGGGCTGGCCCCAGGATGCTCTGGGACGCTCTGGGGTGGCCCCAGGTTGGCCCCGGGCTGGCCCCGGGATGCTTTAGGAAGGTTCGGGATCCTGCAGAGAGCTCTGGGAAACTCCGGGATGCTTTCAGAGGTCCGGAATCTTCCAGGGAGCTCTGGGAAGCTTTGGGGAGGTCCGGGATCCTGCAGGGAGCTCTGGGAAGCTCTGGGCTGGCCCCAGGATGGCCTTGGGATAACCCAGGGATGGTTTGGGGAGGTCCGGGATCCTGCAGGGAGCTCTGGGAAACTCCGGGATGCTCTGGGATGCTCTGGGGAGCTCCGGGATGCTCCGGGAAGTTCCAGGACGGCCCCGGGATGCTCTGGGAGGCTCCAGGGTGTCCCTGGGTTGCTCTGGGAAGGTCCGGGATCCTGCAGAGAGCTCCAGGGTGCTCCGGGATGCTTTGGGAAGGTCCGGGATCCTCCAGGGAACTCTGGGATGGCTCCGGGATGCTCCGGGCTGACCCTGGGATGGTCCGGGTTGGCCCCAGGCTGGCCCTGGGATGCTTTAGGAAGGTTCGGGATCCTGCAGAGAGCTCTGGGATCACCCCGGGATGCTCCGGGATGGCCCCGGGACGCTCCAGGACGCTCCGGTTGACCCCGGCTGTGTCCCCGCTCCCCGGTCACCGTCCCCGCGCGTCCCCAGGAACGTCAGCTCGTGGCGGGTGGTGCTGGGGGCCTGGGACCTGAGCGACCCCGGGCCCGAGGTGCAGGTGCGGCGGCTGCGGCGGCTGCGGGCGCACCGGGGGCTGGGCCTGGCGCTGCTGCAGCTGCAGCGGCCCGTGCAGTGCAGCGACTTCGTGCAGCTCGGCTGCGTCACCGGCACCGGGCCCACGGCGCCGCTGCAGCCCTGCTACATCGCGGGCTGGGGAGCCATGGGCGGTACAGGTGAGGAGGGGGGGGATAGGGGGGGCACAGGTGAGGGTGAGG